AGAGACATTATGGATCGACATCGGCTGTTTATCGGAAACCCGCTTGCAAGATTCAAGTTCTGTGATTACGCTGTGATTCCCATCATGCGACACTGGCGGTACGTTCGCGTTGCGTTTACCTGGAGATGACGCGCCTTCAAATCCCAGTCAAGCCGGTGAGGGTATTGCTCTGAGCCCCCAGGATGAAGCTGCCCTGATCACTTGGATCCCAATGAATAGCCGGATGTACGCTATCAGACTGATTGGCTAGTTTAAAGCTTCGAAGTAGTGCGGGGACAAATTGTGCCTATATGTCATTGCGGCCTACGCCCCCACAAATTGTAGCGCTGACTCGATGAAAAATGATTTCTATCACCAGTTGAACGAACTCCGTCTTAGAAAAAGTTCGCATGCAATGGTGCTGGCTAGTGATTTGAACGCCTAAGTTGGAAAACTGTTCACAGATGAGCTGCATCTGGGTGGTCAGTACGATGTAGGCTCCCATAATTATAACGAAGAGCGGTTCCTACACTTGTGTGAAGATGCTCGTCTCTTTCTCGAGAACACTAACTCCAGACACCACCCGCAGAAGAGTGACATGGCGCCCACCCGCCTCCAAGCAGCCATGGACGTAAACCGATCACATCGAGGTTAACTACCGCTGAAAAGGCTACGCCCAAAACTGTCGCCGACTTGGAGCACGCGCATGGACTCCGACCACGCACTTGCATGAACCGCCCCGCGGGTACATTTCGGCGGATGTCCGCAACGGTGTTGTGAGCGTATAGATACTAACCAACTGGCGAAGTCAGATGTTCTGATTGCGTATTATAATACGCTGGCATCCGAGCTGAGTAAGCTTCCACTGAACACGGTTGGAGATCACTAATCGCATCACCGCTAGATGTTATTAGCAGCAGTCATGTCTTTATGTGGCAAATCAAAGCGTCAACCTGGACACTCAGTCTCTACGCAGTATCTGGAACTTATCGATGTTTGTCGACGTGCTCCGGCTGGAAGCGCACATAATGAAACACGGAAAATTCTCAGGACAAAACTCCGTCCTAGCCTAAAAAGAAACCGTGAATCCTCGTGGTCTTATCGCGACTCGGAGATAAAAATAGCCGCTGCCGTTGGTAACCCTCGCAAGTTATTCCATATGATATAGGAAACGGGCAGCAGGAGAGCTGATGTTTACGAGACCACAGGTGACGAGAGCGGACAGCCGATTCACAGCTTGTCAAAGGGTTTGGAGCGTCGGGCCAAACGCTTGCATAAGTAGTTTAAGCAGAAAAAGTAACCAGCCACTCTATCGGCTAGTGATCGCCCTTTTCTCTGGGCCGTCCAATCGGATCCACTCTCATCCGCAAAAGTCAAACGTGAGATCAGACCGCTGAAATTGAACAAGGCAGGCGGAACAGATGGGCTTCGTCCAGCTCCCTACAAATGCGAGACCTACTCTTATGGATGATTTACATAGCTTACTACTGAATCTAAAGGAGCAGGAGACTTTCCAAACAGACTGGAACCGCTCCGTTATAGTCTCAATTTTAAAGGTAGGCTTTCGTTCGGACTGCAGCAATCATAGAAGGATCAGTCTGACCCGAATTGCCTCTAATTTACTTACATGTGTCGTCCTCCATAGGTTAAATGGCTCCCGGGAAAGGCATATGGGAAAGGAGCAAGCCAGGGTTTTCGTCAAAATCGAGACTGTATTGACCACATCTTTACATTACGTCGACTGTTGGAGCAGCGTCAGGCTTATTGGCGATCCATCATAGTCCTGACCCTAGACATCAAAAGTGCATTCTAATCGGTGTATCGATGTGCCCCTTGGGACTGTGTGCGGGAGAAATACGTACTCATAAGAGCGCTGTACGCGCATAGTTCGGGCAGAGTAAGGGTTTACGGCAAAATTTCGCCGCCCTTCAATATATCCAGCGATGTCAAACAAGTGTGCCTGTTGTCACCATTCTTCTGTAACTTCACGACCTAAAAGGTGTGGAGGTGCATTTTGGTAACCGACTTCTTGACTTGGAGTATGCCCACGACATTGTGCTCATCTGTGATAGCTCCCAAAAGTGCCAAGCAGCACTGAATACTAAATACTGTATTATAGAGCAAGTAGAAATGAATTCTGTACAACTCTTTTTGAAATATGGTGAAAAACGTTATAAAAGTTGTCAACCGTGAATATCGTTGTCGTTCCCATGTAACATTTAAAATATCTGACTTACGATATTTTAGGACTCACAAATGTGATATGTCATCGTAAGTGTGTAATCGTTCTCTGAATCGAATAGTGGTAAGATATAAATCTAACAACGTTTTGAACTGCTGCACAGATGTTGTCTCAATCACATGTTCAGGTAAACGGTTCCAAATGTTTACCACTCTCCGTTCGAAGCACAGTGGGCGGGGAACACATTTCACATCCGGCACGACAAGTTTGTATCTGTGTCCGCGTGTGGTGCATGGCCCTCGTAAGTGCAGCATTAGCCTTAGCATTGGGAAGTCACTGAGATGTGGAATACGGTAGGTCAAAATGAGGTCGACTCGCATCCGACGGTAGGACAAGGTGTAGAGTCCTAGTTTCTTGCACCGGTCTTCATATCCCCAGACCACGTAAGTTCGGGATGAGCCTGGTAGCAACGTGTTGGACCCGTTCGATCTTTTGTGCCTCGCCTCGGGTAATCGGAAAGTAGGCGGGCGAACCGTACTCTAGCATTGGTCTAATGATGGAAGATAAGAGACGAGTGGCAACCTCCTCAGACCATGTGCCGAAGCTACGTTTGAGCGCCCAAAGCATGCGCAATCCGCTACGATATAGCCTGTTCGTGTTGTCCACGGATTTCAAATCGTAGCGTGAGAGTACACCTAGGTCCTTCACGGAGGGTGTGGGATATAGCGGTTGGCCGTCAAGGGTGTAGGTTTGGCCGTCAACACCCTTCCCCAGGCTCATAAATACAGACTTGGCTGGGTTGACGGGGAGAAGAACTTCTGCAGACCATGTGGATAGGCGGTTGAGGTCTTGCTGAAGTAGGCCACAGTCATCGGGAGCGTCGATTTCTCTCCAAATCTTCATGTCGTCCGCAAACAAGGCACATGACGACCGGAGAAGCTGCAGTAGATCGTTGATGTGGATCAGTCGGCCGGTAGCCGAGTGGTCTGCATGTTTGCTTTGCAACCATAAGGTTACCGGTTCGAATCCGCGTAGGGGTGGGCGTCCTCGTGGTATACACAGCCCGCGCGCGACTGGTGGTGGTCGCGCGGCAGCGAAGCGCCGTTACGGTGCACAGCTGACACGTTATTATTTTATCATTATTATTGGTATGGATCGGGAACAGAGTGGGCCTCAGCACAGTGCCTTGAGGCACGCCACTTGTAGAGGGGTACCAGTCAATTAGATGGTCGTCGACCTGTACCCTCCACTTTCGTCCAACAAGAAAGTCGCGGATGTACTGGTGCAGTGAGCCACCGACACCACACATTCTGAGTTTGTGAAAGAGAAGCTCATGGCTAACCTTGTCAAACGCTTTACTGAAATCGATGAATATCACGTCGACGGACTTCCCCTTGCTTATTGCCTTCAACCACTCATGCCTCGTCACAAGCAGGTTCGTAATGCATGAGCGACCTTGCATAAAATTGTGCTGTGCGGGCGTCAGGACTTCGTTTGACCGTAGCAACTGCAGCAATCCCTTGTTCACGATTTTCCCAGCAACCTTTTTCAAAATAGGTGTTAGACAAATTGGCCTGTAGTTGTCTAAGTTGCTACAGTCGCTGCCTTTCGGAATAGGCTTCACCACCGAACATTTCCAGTCAACCGGCAACGAACCTTCGAACAGCGACCGGCTGAAAAGGATAAATTAACTCCGGCTGTGAGCCGTTTCGGGCTATGCTTCGCTCCATTGAAATGCAAAGTGCTCTAAGGTTGGCAGAGTACCACTCTCTTGCATTGGCTCTTGGTGGTGATCAGTTAGAAATCATCCAGAAATTTACGTATCTCAGAGACTATATTAGCGCCCGTAGGATCAATGAAGTGATCACGAACCGTATAGCAAAAAATGGAGGCATTTTTGCTAATCTGCGTCTTCTGAGATGCCAGCGGGACATCACTCTCGCTCTAAAGGGTGGTATTTACAATGAAGCCGTCCGAACAACTCCCCTGTATGGTTGCGAAATCTGCCTCATCAAGTCGAGACATAAAGAGGATAGTCACATTGGACCATCGCTACTTTCGCAGCCTAGCTCATGCTTGGTGGGAACACCGTGTGAGCAATGAGCGTGTTCGGCATCGCGTATTTGGTGCAGGAAGAACTAGTGAACCTCTCAGCACCACTATATCACGCAGCAGGCGCCGATGACTGGACCACGTGGTGTGCATGTCAGCACACCGACTCCCGCGACGTACGTCGTTTGCGCGCCATGAGTGTGAATAGAAGAAGAGGATAGGAGGCCAAGGTTTGACTTGGTAAAGAGGAATGAAAACGTTTAGTTCGAACTTGGCGTCGGTTGGTGTCGCTTAACTGCTTGGCTGGGGTCCTAAGAACGATGAACACGTCTGGTTGGATACACTTGTTGACAAGATTAGGAGCCGACCACAATGGCGTATGTGCTGTGAATTTCCTTGTCTTTCCCCTCTTCTTTGGTTCCCCCTTCGACAATGATATCATACCTAATGCATGATAAGATATTTAGCACAATATTACCTTTTAGTTTTTATAGTCTGCAGTGTCTAATGTCATATTTTTGTATTGCGAATAACGCGTCTGATGGTGGTGGTGATGAAGATGAATGGTAAGACATTTAGACTGCAAATTAGGCCCCCTGATTCACAGCCATAATAAACTAAAAATTACCCTTCAATTTGTGTCTGCATGCATGCGAGGTACCAGTCTGAGGCCCTCGTGAACAGCTGCCGGTGCTGCTGAACACTATAAATACTCATGAAAAAGTTGTTGATACAAGTACATCAATATCCTTTGTCAAATAACCGCATCGAATGCGAAAAGCAGTACCTCGATTGATGAAACGCCACGGAATCCAAAGTCGTGCAACTGAAACAGTAAGCCCTCCATATTATCCGACGTTTCAAGTGCGTATTTCGCTAGGAATTTTTTCATCGCACGGGAATTCGTAGCCACGGTGATGGGATACCAAACCTGCACCAAGATCGTTTCAACATAGTTCGTTAGCCAAAAACAGTTCGGATCCGTATTTTCAACCGTGAACAAAACGTTCTTTATAGGAATAACCGATCCCTCGGGAACAGCTTTAATTCGCAAAGGAAGGTATCCATTGTGTTCCTAGGAAAACAGAAGACAAATAGAAAGCCAACAAACTTTGACGATGTACCGCCATCCATTCTCGTTATAGATGTCTCTGCTGAAATGCTCTTGCAATATGCTTTTCGCTTCCTCAATTTTATCATATGTAACGACTGGTCCAGTAAGGCTTCTCAGTAAAATATATTGTAGGCCAAAGAAGACCGTCTCGGGAAACCGACCCCCACGACTTTCAAAGTAGGAGTAAACTTCTTCTGTGCCAGGAGGATATTGAGCATAATGACTAACCTAGAACGGTGATTCATATCAACGGTTCTAACCAATCGGCATTCTCACTTTATAAGAATCGCACAACAAAATGATATTATCTAGAAATCCAGGCGCAACGCGAGACATCACAAAATAAAGTGAAACCCGAAAAAGAAGAGCTGAAAGAGAAATTGGCAAAACAAAGTAACGATATAGAGTACATCGAAAATTGATGGTTTTAAATATACGCAAATATAAAGGCGCTTCAAGGTGAAGGTGGTGTTGCATACATCATGCGTCTTCATCGCAGTCGGGCTACACCGAAGTATACTTAAACTAGATCTCCTAAATCTGGATAAAATGCAGTCTAAATTTATTAGATTTTCACAGTGCTGTTATTCTGCCGCATACTTCGCAGCAATTCTGTGAGTTTATTTTCCTAGCAATTCTGCTGGTTATTTGATATCCGCGGTGTGGTTACGCTTGATGTGAATGTTGACAAGATGCTTACCTGTCTAATACTCACCACCTCGTCTACACGGGCTCCAGGAGACTGGGAAACGTAATCGTGATCCAACTAGGCTCAAGGAGTGGTTCTATGCATCCAGTGTGGAGTGGACTATGGCTCAGCTACTGACTTATGTATGTAGGTTACAACTGAATCCCAAAATAGATAGATAGTAATGCTGCTGCTGTGCATGTTGAAGGAGTGTGGGCCGGCTGCGTTGATGAAATGTGGCTGCCCCCCACATGCCTCCCAAACTTATTCATCCGGGTTTACACTAGATATGGGGTGTGTGAATGGATGGAATGGAATAGATGGTGCAGCGCAAGCCACCCATGGTCCCTCTATAGGCGCAGGCGTTCGGTGACTCTCCTATGGAGTGCGCAGTGATAAGAAAATCAGAAACCAGATACCGCGAAGTATAATCAACAGCGAAAAACCTGAAAACCTGTCAGCTTATACGCCGTAACGGCGCTTCGCTGCCGCGCGACCACCACCAGTCGCGCGCGGGCTGATTATACTGCGAGGACGCCCACCCCTACGCGGATTCGAACCGGTGACCTTATGGTTGGGAAGCAAACGTGACAACCACTCGGCCACCGGCCGACAGAATGTAACTGCGCTAGAAGACACGGCACACAACGTCGATTAGATGTGATCCAACGAAATGCAATTCATTAAGACGAATTGTATCTGAAAAAGGTCCCTCCATGCGTAAGGCCGAGGACAAGAAGAATGTTAAAGCAGCTGGTGACACGATCACCTAGAGGCTGAATAGGTACGAAGTCATTGCTAGTCTGTTTGTGCGAAAGGTTTGCGGTATGATGTCTGAGCGGAGGTTGCGGTTCAAGTAGAAGTGTAGCTCGATCATTCCAGTTACGGCGGCTGTCTTCGCTAGACCAGCCAAAGATTGATAACTGTCGCATCGAGATCGGTGGTCAGTGTCTCTAAGAATGTGACGACCGCAAACATCTCAACAGCAGCAGTTTATCCCAGAACGAACGTTCTCATCCCACCACTGGTGCCAGTCAAACAAAATGATGTTCAGTACTCCAACTGACTACATCGTCAGCAAATGTGGATAGTGCATGTCAGTGCAAAACCGCCCTTAGGTGGTGCCACAGTGAGCGCTACATTGCGTCTTACTCAAAGCAAGTGCTCTGGATTCCACCTGCCTTGCAAATAACCATATCGGTATGAGATTGAAAGTAAGTTAACAATGACGAACGAATCAGAAAGATAAAATGCTGATTAAAGTTGCCTTCAACATCGTGGAAGATCACGAAAACCGCTTCTTCGCTAAGCAGTATAAGTCAACACTGGTTAAGGCACGTTACGAGTACCTAACTTATAAATCGTGTACCAAGCATCTATTGAAGCAGGAACATTTAGACGCTCTTAAAGAACTCGAGCGAAACGATACTGTACTGTTATCTAGGAGCCGGGATCGTTCTGATGGACAGATCGGACTGCATCATCAAGATGTATGTCATTCTTTCTGACGGGCCAAAATTTCGCAGAATGGAGAATGAGAATGACGAGACACAGGCAATCGAGAGATCCATAATGAAACACTTGCGTTGCTTAAAGCAGGAGAATGTAATCGACTAAGATATATCTGAATACACCAGACTGAGTGGGACAGTGATTGCAAGATTGTATGGCCTGCCCAAAGTACACAAGGAAGGGCTAACACTATGGCCGATAGTAGATATGTGTAACTCGCCGTATCATTCAACTGCCAAGTGGCTCGTCAAACGGCGGGTACCAGTCAGGAAAACCATAGCTAGAGGCAGTCTCAAGAACACCTTTGATTTTCTCGACTCGGTAAGACAAGTTGAGCTAGCTGGGCGACAGATGTTTTCCTTAGATATGGTGTCGCTTTTTACCAATGTACCATTGGAGGACACCATAGACTCTGTGAGAGTTCATCCAGCTGCGCAACATCGACGTTGGTATCCCACCACACCGGCTGAGACAACTGCTATTCATGTATACGAGAAACATTCAGTTTCAGTTTAATGGAACGCTATATCGACAAATAGACGGGGTGGCAATGGCTTCACCATTAGGACCGTTGCTCGCAGACGTCTTCATGAGGAAATTGGAGTGCAACCAGCTGGACGAATCCATCAATAGCTTGGTTTATTACGGTCGATATGTAGACGACATATTTTGTATTGCGGATAATGGAATATGCGTCGATGATCTATTGGCCCACTTTAACTCTGCACAAAGTAACAACTTTCACTATCGAGCTAGAACGTAATGACTCGTTGGCATTTTTAGACGTCCAAATCAACAGGGCATCAGACGGGTCAGTGCGGAGGAGGGTGCACAGAAAAGAAACCTGGAATGGACAGCACATCCATTTCGCTAGTTTTGTTCCGATAAGTCAAAAAGGAACCTCACCCGTGGCCTAACGGAGAGTGGAGAATATGTACAGATGATGCGCTTTCAGATGAGCTGACCTTTATACGAAGCGTACTCAAGTGTAATGGGTAGCCTGAAAAATTCATCCAGAGGCACATGAAACCGCGAGTACAAAAACTCAAACCCGTTTCCACGGAGAAGCGGATGATGTACTTATGGTTACCATTTAAGGGTGATGCGATAGCAGAACGGACCGCCCGAAGACTTTCCTTAGCAACAGAGAGAACGCATTTTGCCGCTAACCTACGCGTAAGCTTCACCTCAACACCAAGTGAGTGCCGACACCTTAAAGACAGGATACCTCGGTTGCAAACCTTCTTCTGTGTGTACAATGTCTCTTCCTCGTGTCGAGCAAGGTATATTGGGAAAACGAACAGACGACTTTCTGTTAAGGCTCGAGAGCACTGCCCAGCTTGGCACTACAGCGGCGCGAGGAAGAATGTAACGAGTGCAGAATTGTCGCACCTAATAGACTCCGACCATCAAATCAATTCGCATGACGCATTCACGCTGACCTACTGTGTCCCTGGACGTTAAACACGGGCAGTCAGTTCTATAACCCGGACCTATATGCACAGAAAAAACTCGTCCATACTGTAACCCTGCCTTGGCCTCAGACAAACGCGACCAACAATGGCAGTCACTCCACTTCACCTGACTTCGCCACAACAAGACCAATCAGGTAGACTTCTCGATTAGTAAATCTGTTTCAGTGACCCAACTTAAACCCATTGTGTCTATTCTATCTTGTTTTATTGTGGTTGTAATAGCCTGACGATGAAGCCATGAAAACAAGCTTGTTCACTACTTTCTGTTTCTGATATCCCATGGTAATCAACCGCTTCGCATCGGCGTCCATGCGGCTTGCTTTTCACTTAGGTGCTTGTTATAAGGTTAATTGAAACATAACATTTTCACTACAAATTGAATATTTTGTAAGTCAAAATGGATACATCGAAAAATCATAACACGTTAGCAAGGAATGAAGAGTAAGCAGACTGGATGATGTTGCAACCACATTGGGGTCATGTTAATGCAACTGGAGTGTGTAAGCATCGGGTGCTAATACAAGCCCTTCTCCCGATTGTGAGCATTGATCAAAGGCGGTGATTCAGTTTTCTTCTGTATCCCCATCGGCCTTCGCGTAGTTTGTGTGCCTGTGTGTGTACGTACGAACCTGTGCAGTTGTGAGAGTATGGGAATGTAAGACTCTCCAAGGTGTATTCCATTATGACAGCCAAACGTTACCGAGCTTTATAAGCCGGATGTTACGCGAAACCACCGAAGATGAGTGACGAACAGCGAGAAGACGCGTACACGAGGCAGCGATGGTACAAAAGAACTTCCTTGACAGGGAAAAAGATCCTTACTAAGCTTGTGTTCGTGACGGCAAAACCACCCATGAAACTAATGAAGTCGCCGATATCAACACGAGCACAGCAAGAAACATCATTAATGCTTACAGGCGAGGTGCTATTACTCAGAGCAGCTGTGGAGGAAACAACAGAGAAAATTTGACTCCTGATGTCTTGCAGCGCATCGCAGAGACCGTTGAACGATATTTGGAGAGTATTTTGGTGTAAATACATCAGCGTCTTAAAGAGAATGCGATCCACCTTTCCGTATCTACAGTCCTCAATGCCCTCAGAAGGCTGATGATTGCGCTTATGAGGTGACCTACGAGCTAGACCAAGTCATCAGTACCACGAAGATCACAAGCCAGCAGGGTTGCGCACTCGACCTCTCGGTAAACGCACTGCAGGAGAAAGTGCATCTTCATAGACGAGAGAAGGTTCAACGTACATCTGCAGCCGACGCAGGCTCGCTCAAGAAGAGGGATGCGCGCAAAGGTTATCTTTCATGGTGACGCCGATTGTGGTGATGCATAACCAAGGCATCGTTCACTTAGAGATCATCAACAATGACAGCTGCAATAATACAAAGTTCTTGATGTTCGTCTGTGAGCTTGTGGCGCATATTCGCTGCGGAGTGGAGATGAACGGTGCATGGCTGACCAAAGATAACGCCAGAATCCGCATGCTGGATAAGCTAACGAGAGTTCTGGGCTCGCTCTATCAGCTGAAATTTCTGTCGCCATATTCCTGCAAAGTAAAAACAGTACAAAACGTTTTCGAAGTTGAAAGCATCGAGGAGACGCTTGCTGACTAACCCGATTACTGGACAGATGCTTAATGTGATCAGTCAGAAGAACATCGGAATGGTAAATCAGCAGGATCGTATGAATTAAGTCCTTAATATGATAGCGAACTTGACAAAGGCATCATCATCATTATCATTATCAAAAACGTTAGCTGAGGGTGAAAAGCACACCTAAACTAATGTGTCGCAATACAAAAATAGATGATAAAAATTGCACTACAAAGATTCCACAGCAAGTAATATGATGTTAAATATTATATTAGGCGTTTCGTATGAAAGCACAATTACAGGGGGAATCTAAAGCGAAGGGGATGGACAAAGAAACTCACAACAAAGACAGCAGCTGGGCAATCCGCAATTGTCTGATCTTCTCTAACGATACTTTTATTCCTTGCTAATACATCGTGTTCATTTTAAACTGCCCATTTTTCAAACCAAACTACTGGGTATAGCTTGCAAAAGAAAACGCGTCTTCTCGTCGTTCGTCATTCAGCTTGTCCACTTAATAACACTACGACGTGACATGTAACTCGCCACTATATAAATTCACTGTTCTTTGGTTCACACTGACGGAGCATTGTATTCTAGCAACTGAATGCTATCATCGTGGGAAGACTAGGCGCCAGTAAGGTAAGTTACCAGCCTGAGATGATGATTCTTCCACACACGATGTTCCAGTTTCCTAAAAGCCGCACTCGCCTTCGCTACACGAGCGCGCAGTTCGTCGGTGATCCACAGGTCGGTTGACAATGTACTCCCGAGGTAGCAGAATGCTGACGTATTCTGTAGTACTTCATCTGCAATTCGTACTCCTGGCCTGCACTCCAGGCGCCGGCTGAAATAGGCATACAGTCTTGCTTGTGTTTATGCTGAGTCCAAACTTGTCGCGTGGAAGCTAATGCAGTCGCCATGCATTGCAGTTCTGCTTCGGTATGTGCAAACAATGCACAGTCGTCATCAAACAGCAGCATACGGGTGGTTGTCTCACGCACTAAGCTTCTTGATCCAATGCGGCGGATGTTAAGCAAACACCCATAAATGCGGAGCTCCAGATGCACACCGTATTCACACGTGTTGAATGCGCACGACATCACAGCCGTCAGATAGATATTGAACAGTGTGGGGGCTAAGACGCATCCTTGCTTCACACCGGAGATAACGGAAAAGTCATCTGAAGTCTGTCCACTCAGCTGCACCCTTGCTCGCATGTCATTATGCACACATTCAATCATACGAATAAACTTTGCAGGACATCCAAACTTTGGGAGAATCAATCACAACGCCTCACGGTTCACCGTATCAAACGCTTTGGTGAAGTCCACGAACAGTGAATACAACGGCTGATTGCGTTCACGACATTTTTCCTGTAGTTGACGTGCTGCGAATAGCATGTCGATGGTGCTTCGGCCCGAGCGGACTCTACATTGCTCCTCAGCTACGTTCGGTTCCAATATATGTGTCACAAGGCGATTGAGTAGGATGCGGGCAAAAATCTTGCCGACGCAGCTAAGTAAGTTGATGCCACGCTAATTGTTGGTGCATTGCTTATTACGCTTACCCTTGTACAGTGAAATCACAAGAGCATCCTTCAACTCTGCAGGCACTTGCTCTTCCATCCAGGCGGCTTCCACCAAACGATGGAGGGCGCGCATCATAACTGGTCTTCCGTTCTTCAGTAGTTCCGGAGGTATACCATCAACACCAGCGCATTTCCCATTCTGTAATTGAGCAAGCAGTCCCTGCCAGGCTGGTCTTTGTGAAGTGAATAAGTTAAGGGTAAACTAAGAAAACAAGAAAAATGTAATCTACATAATGATAATATCAAAGTGTGAGAATAAATAAAAAACGGAAAGTTGAAGATACAAGTCAGTTAGGAGAAGGGGAAGGTTGTTACTGTCATCCAAGAGCACCTAAGGGACGCTAGAAACCTTTAACCGTAGACTCCCTAACGACGTGCTCCGGAAGCGAGTTCCAACGTTCAATAAGCCAGCGCAATAAGCGAGTTTCCGTCCTTACCCGGTCAGAACGTAGTTTGTGAAGCTTCAACGGGGGACCTCGGAGACTAGGCAGCTTAGCGGGATAAAAATAGCCAGGACAAATTTGGACCGATCTTACCCGTTAGGATACGGTAAGTGAGGATCAAGTATCCTCTGATTCTCCGGTAGTGCATTGAGTGCATACCCACGCAAACGTTCGGGATACCTCTGCCCTCGTAATCCATGCACTAACCTTGTACCCACTCGCAAAACCCTCTCCAGTTCTATTTTGTCCCTTACAAGACAAGGTGGACACGCCTGGATACAGTATTCTAAGTGGGGTCGAACAAAAGCTGAGAACAGCTTCACAAAGATATTGGCCGTTAGGACAATGAAGGAGCGGCGAATAAATCACATCATACGGAACCCTCTACAAGCAGCCTTTCTCCAATTGTCACCAGAGTGAAGCACTGAGGTGTGGACGATACCTAGATCAACCTGCTGAGTGACAACAGGGAATTCACTTCCACCAACTACCTAGAGCGTGTGGGGAAGAGAAACTCCAATGCGGAGGACAGAACATTTCGCCTGATTTATAGGCATCAACCATAAGGTTGACTAATCCCAGAGTCTATTTAATGCACTCTGAATTGCCTCAGAGCCTCCAGGGATATCCACAATATTCCAGAGCTTGAGGTCATCAGCAAACAATAGCGACGGTATTTCAAGCTCCCGGGGTAGGTCATTGACATAAATTGTGAAAAACAACGGCCCTAGAACCGATCACTGCGGAAAACCACTAAGAACAGCTTGTCTAAGAGAAAGGCAACGTCACACGCGCCCCAAAATATAACTATTATCTTTTGGGGCGCTACATGTCTGACCTCTAGGAAAGCAGACACCCAGTTAAGGGCGCCTCCAGATATCCCATACAATCTCAAATTTAATGAAAGTCGTGGACATGGGACAGTATCAAAGGCTTTCAAGAAGTCAACGAAAAGCACGTCGATAGCGTGACCGTTGCCTACTGTCTCAGCCCTGACAGCAAATCCAAAGTGCTACGAGAGCATGGCACAGGACGCTCAGTTCTTGCTTTACATCCTATGTGCAGGTAAGCAAAGCATCTCAAACGTCGAAGTGCAGGTAGGGAGTCCTGGGTTGCTTGCTGGTACAATAAACAGATCGCTCGTTAGGCGAATTGGAGGAGGTTGTCTTCCTGCGAAGTACTTGGTCGGTGGGGTCGAACTCCCCGTGTATCTAGCCAGGTTGATCTAGACGTCGTACACTCTTCGGCTTTAGACTCCGGCGACAACTGGAAGAAGGTCGCAAGCAGAGGTTTCCGCATGTTGTGGCTAATACGACGTTATTTCGGAGTCTTGACAGGCGGCATTTTTACGAAACTGTTCTCGGCTTTCGTTCGGCCTCATCTGGAATATTGCGTCTAGGCTTGTCCGCGCTGTCTCGTCCGGAACAAAGTGGAGCTAGAGAGGGTTTTACGGGTGGGTCCTAGGTTAGTTGAGGGAGTACGAGGACGGACGTACCCCGAGCGTCTACTTAGATAAGGAATGCGTTCAATGCACTACCAAATGCTGGAGGAGACCTAATCCTAACCTACCGTATCTTAACTTGACGCCTTGGGTGGCAACAAGAAACATTTCCTTTTCCCTGAGAAACTCGCATCCTCATACTTCGATGTTCGTTCCTCAACTTTTCTTCATGCATTGGTATTATTTTCTTATTTCAAGTGAACTTCCTTATTCTGCACCTTCATTTATCTTCCTATCCTTTGCTTACTTCAAGTGACTGCCCCAGCAGGGACTGCCAGGACAGGATACGTGGGCATTAACTGGTTGGCAAGGGTGCGATACGGGAGTTCCGTTTTTAGATCCATCAATAACTCGGAGCACTTCATCAATTTCTGGCTCAACGATCCACTCAAGATGGAACGTGTGGTTTGAAATTGTGAAAAATCCCCATCTGGAAGTTTTCACCTTCAAACTTAGCTTGGAAGCGTATTCTAAAGAGACTGAGTGTGAAATCAATTATTTGATTGCTGTCATTAAGATAGATTCCTTTAACGGGCGGCCCTGACTCCGTGGTTTGGAATTTTTAAAAAGCGTATTCTTGTCGTTTTTGTCATTGAAACTAACTTTGAAGGATACTACTGCTTGCCTCTTGTGTGCCGTTCCTCATTTGGCAAAGGCGGATTTACTGTATTTGCCTTGTATTGAAACATTGTTTTTGTCAACACTGAGGAGGATACTTGATCAGTCCATCTCCGTGTGATCTAAAAGGGCTAAGAAGTGCCCACTTTATCGGAATCTGTCCTGTCGCTGATCTTCGCGTCAAAAATATCGCTGGAAACTTGCTTTTGGCGAAATTTCCTGCGAGTAAACTTGGTCTTTGTTCCGTTGTTTTCACCGAGTCCTTGGATCATTACCTGTCTTTTGACCACGGGACCCTATCCACCTACCCCTCGCCTCTTGTGCGCTGTTTTCCATTCATCAAAGGCGGATTTAGTGGATTCAATTCTTGGGATCCGTTCCCTGTGGTTGAACTGATCAGTGGATCTTTAGTTATCCTTGTATCGGTGTCTGCTCTCTCGCAAAGATCCTGTTGTTATATCCTTGGAGTCCACTTCGGCTTTGTGACTTGGTGAGTCCATTTCAATACACTCGTGTCACACTTGGTCTTTCCGACTGGTGCTCTCGTCGATTGCATAGGTTGTCACCGTAAACCGGTTCACATCTTTGCTGCTTATCTATTACATTCAATTCTTTCTCTGAACCCTCTCCGTCGCGATGGTTGTCAAGCGCTGCTTAAACTCGCCGTGTCCTCTTTCCGACGACTCTGTGGTCATGTGTGGTAAAGAGAGGTGTCTAGAAGCGGTTACAGATTCGTCCGGGAGCATGCAGTGCGATATCTGTAACCGTTGGTTCCATAAGGCCTGTACTGGCTTGGATTGTAGATAGTATGCTCTTTTGTTCAGTAGCGAGAGTTTACCGTTGTAATGACTTGTATGCGCAGGACTGAGCGTTACACGCCAGTAAAGAGCAGTCCTGTTTCTCTGGTTGGTCAATGGTGATAGGTCAGACAAACTCAGTCTCTTGGTCCTCCAAGTTGGGGGTTTGAATGGGATGGCGTCCATTTCTGTAAAACTAAATCACTGCCACCCCGCTGCCTTGCGGACAGGCTTTTGAGCCAAAGGCTTTGGATGAGGACCCCAATCGTCCTCCTGTCTAGGTCTGGGCGCCCTGGCAGTATCTCAGCCCACATACAACCATGACATCTTCTTCAAACATAAACTTCATCCTGCATCGGCCGTCGCGCAGATTATCAAGGGTCGCCTTATCTGCTGCATACAGCAGGGCGGATAAGCGAAAACATGCTACTGCTGGCGCCTCCCTTCTTTCTTTTCCACCTTTTTCTCTTACTCCCATCCCGACCCCCATTACTAACCTTACTTCTATAATTCCCAGCTTAATTGACAGTAACCGAAGTGCTACTGGAGTAGAACCATCTGCAGCCACCATCCCACAGCACCTATCGGACGTCTATCGGCAAACGTCACTTAGAAGGCCACGTTGTCCCGTTTCCATGGCGACATTCAACCTTCGCACTCTAAGACAAACAGGTCAACAGGCTGCACTCGCACGCACCTTGGACACACTGGGTGTTGATGTGTGTTGTGTGTCCGAAACTAGGATTAATGACCCTAACGGGGTTATTGAATGGACTGCACCCGGCTTATCCTCTCGTTATTGGTTGCACGCATCCGGAGACGCCGATGCAGCACTCACGGGTCAAGCTGGTGTAGGTATCATTCTCAGCTCCAAGGCTGAGTCATCGTTGATTGATTGGATTCCGGTGAACAGCCGTTTATGTGCAGCCCGTTTGACGACATCAGCTAAGGTGAATTCACAAAGTAAAACAAAACGCTGTTTGTTTGTGATTTCCGTTTATGCTCCCACCGACTGCAGTTCTAATGCAGTCAAGGACACATTCTATCACGAACTGAACGCCCTACTACGCAGTGCTACTAGTTCAGATATTATAGTACTTGCAGGGGATATGAACGCACAACTAGGGCGTCTGAGCTCTTCAGAAGCTCAGCTGGGTGGTAAGTATGGACATAACTTCGAACGGACTGACAACGGTGAGCGTCTGCTGCAACTGTGTGCGGAGCACCAGTTGTTTCTTACTAGCACTGCTTTTAG